ACTAAGACCAATGTACTTTGATTTGCTATTATGTTTTATTAAGGAAAAGATACTTAAATTTGCAATTTGGGTTTATTTCCTATGTCAATGGCACATTTTCTTGGCCAGTTGTTCTTGATGGAACAAGCTCCTATCTCTCTATCTGTCCATTCTATCCTAAGTCTAGTTTCTCATAACTGGCATGAAATGATATAAAGCACCTCATTATCCAGCACTTAAGCCTCACTTCTAACCCATGAATTCCATTAAAACCATTGACATGTTCTAAAGTACACTGATTTGGGATATTTATTTTCTTGTCAGTATTTGGAGGAGACAGAACAGGGTAGTGATAGAGAAACAAGGAGAGAAAAACGGCTTTGAAAAGTTTTGAGTCAAAGATTAGAGAAATTCAGACAGACATTCTGCCTCAAAGAGAATGGGATCTGTAGCCTAAGGAGGGAGGATGAGGTTACAGCCTTTAAGCCATGCTATGCAGGAAGATTCACAAGAAAATCTAGGTCAGTCTCTTACTAAACATTGCAAACTGCTCAGTAGTAGTGGCAATCTATATTTGGTATTTGTGTAAAAGAGAGGCAGAAGAAGATCCTCACTTGACCCCAAGCAAAGTACTAGACAAGAGGTGGTGGTGGGATAACTAGTGCAGGCATAAATCTAAATTTAGGATGTAAATCTTCATTACATGCCCCACTTCCAAGTAATCCAGATGTGAACTCCTTCTGACTGGTTTTCCCCTCATTTACTTCCTATTACTGGTAACTACAGAGAGGTCTTTTTTTTTGTATGTCTCTTGATATCTGTAGTTGACTATAATTTTTAATTGCTTAAACATTTCTAAATAAAATTAGTTATTTCTAGCGCAGTCCACAGATTTCCCCTGTTTCTTTTTTATGGCAAGGACCTCTCTTTTTTCCAGAGCATGTAAAATGTGGCCTGCGGGGCTATATTTTCCATTTGCATCCCTCCATGTCTTTGCCTCTTCCACTGCAAAGACACCGACAAACTTCTCTTTGCTTTTAATGGCTTTTCCTTTAGCATTCAGCTTCACCCAATACTATTAATTTATCAAGCTGTTCACCTCCAACTACACTGCCAGATAGTCCCAGTTGCACCAATCTTCAAATCTTCCCCATGTAACCTCTCAAGAATGAGAGGAAATAGGGGAACCATAAAAGTGCACTCCATGAAAAGAAATATGTCCCTTTCCAGTATGTCTCTGAGTGGCTGCCTCTCTACATCAGTAAAAGGAATCTGAAGACACTGGCCTCCATAGCACAAAGCCAGCCTTTGTACTGCACAATTTCCTGTCCAAGAATTAAGAAGTTGTCATCTTAATCCCTATCAGTGACCTGAAATAATGACTTTGTTACATGACTTCTTCTATACTTCCATAGCAGTCATTCCTCACCCCCACAGCCCCTTCCTCTGGTGGGATTGGTTTGTTCAGTGTTGCAACCTTGTCTGCTGGCACGGTTCATGCTCTGTAGGACACACTGGCCCTTCAAAATATACTTATCTCTACAGTGTATAGCATAGTGTAAAGATTTACTGAGGTGTCTATTCTGCCAAAATGCTATCACAATGGAGTTGCAGATTGAATTATTTAATAACTCTGCTTAATTAGTTAGATCTCAGCATAGGCAGGAAGTGCTGATTGTGGCTCATCACTGCAGAAGAGCTGGAGAGCATATCTGAGGTAGTTTCAAATTAGCTAGCATGGAGCACAACTCGGCCAGATTGCTCCTTGCTCTATTAAAGATAGCTCAAAAGAAAGCTTTAAAGGTGGCACCTCTAAGCTGCATATGGTCTACAGCACCAGCATGTGACTGTGTGATGAAGTACTGCCAACATTTCTCATTGGGAAGATGCAATGGAAGAGAGAGAAAAATCATGGGAGTATGGATTAAGAAAACCTACAGGGTAATCAAGTGGTAAAGTGAGAATCATGAGTTCAGCTTCTGACTGTATATGCTTAGTTTTTTACCTCTCTCTATGCTTCAGTTACACATCTGTTAGAGAGTAGGATGACTCACCTCTACTTCTCAGAGCACTGGAAAGCTAAATATCTGTACTCAATTCATAAAATACAGTAAGGTCCCTCAAATACTATTGGTAAATAAGATATAAAAGGTCCTATGGAGAACAGGAAAGAGTCAGGTTGGAAAAATACAAGATTCTGGTTTTGCAGAAAACAGAGAGAGCATCTGTAATCTTTCTGAGCACCCTATAGAATTCAAGATACTTAATGAGTGAGATGCCAACATTTTACTTGATGAGGATGTTTTCTCTCAGAATGACCAGAGAGGCAGCACACTGTCTTTCCTAATGAAAATGAGGTGAATGAATGGCCCTACTGTTTTCACTGTTATTCTTTTCTCTGCATTTTAACAGTGCATTACAAAAATGTGAACTGCCTTGTCCGACTTTCTCCTGTATTTACAGATACCATTAAAAGCAGCCAGGTTGCACTGATGTGTGTTCTAATGGCCGATGGTAGCATCTAATGGTGTGAACAAGATGGGAAATACCTGATGTTCCTTTAAATGACAGAAGAGTGGTGCATTACAGGTCACGGAAGTAAAGCAGACTGTCATCAATAAGGATCCCCTGGAAATGTTTATGCCTTTTTCGCATATTATTCTCACATGCCATGTTTGTGGATTTGATAAAAGCTAATCATCCTTGCCTAATGTGAAAAGCATTCCAGGACTGTGTGGATTGCCCACTAGGTGTCATAATAGAGGGCCTGTGTTTAATGCACACTTGTGAGTCACCTCATGTTCAGACATAGGACACATCATTCATCCTCCGCAACACCGGCCACAAAAAAAAAAAAAAAAAAAAAAAAAAAAAAAAAAAAAATGGGCC